TCCAACCTTGTAACTTCTGGTGATTGAGATGAACGGAGTACGCTGCTGGCTCTGACTGCATGAACGGCGGGGTTGGGTGTGCTCACTGTGGTCTCCCACTCCAGCTACACCCTTCCCTTTGACATGCCTCTTAAGATCCTCCATCTCTGCCGCCATTCTCCGGATGACGGCGTCTTGGTCTCTCAGCTTGTGCTCCAGACGTCTGGCGTATGATTCTCTCCGCCGCCGATGACCGTCTGGACTTCGCGAATGACCATAACTTCTTCCGCGCTTATCTCGCGCGTCTCTCGACTATCCTCCTGGGAATGTCTCTAGGTCCGCCATTGGATGGATGGCGGGATGTCCTTCTCTCCGTCTGCCTGACTCCGGGGTGACTCCATCGATGGCGGACAACGGAATCTCGTCGTTGTTCGCCATGGACGGCGATCAGATGAGCCTGGAAGACAAGGTTTTGTCTGAAAAGCTTCCCACAAACGGCGCCAATTGTGCGGGGAGCAAATATTCAGACAAGCCCGCACTCCTTTCTTCCAAAACTCCTGTCTGTCCAATCGACCTGCGAGCAGAACGGCGGTGAGCTACCTGGCGGTGTGTGGCCGGAAAACCCCTCCAACAATCAAGTTAGAACACACACACAGGAGATAGATAGAGAGAAGGGAGAGTGTTGAGTGTTTAGTGTATGTCTCACCAAATGTTCATCTGCTCAGCATGGGGGGCGCAGACTCGTTTATATACCTTCCGCGCCCCAAATTTACTCTCATCCGTCTCTCGACACGTGGTGCTGCTATCCCATCTATCAGCACAAATCTTGCTGAACACCACCTAACCAAACTGCCAGCCCACTCTACTGGGAGCTCGGCAGCCGGCTGCATCTTCTCGGCTATCAACGGCCGTGCTATACAACTGGCCAGAGCGCTCCGCTCGCCGCGCTTAATGAGGACCGAGCTCGGCTGCATCCCGGCAGAGCCGAGCTCGGGACAACTCATGCTGGTTTGCCGTCGACCTTCCTGCCGGGCTAACTCATGAACCCCGGTTTAACCACGCCTTTCCTGGCGCCGGATATCTCACTTGACTAGCCTCTATACCATGCAGCTATGTAGCTCGGTCCAACCACGCCTTGCCTTAACCGAGCAAATCCTTTCAGCACAGGACCGCGCTACCTCGGCCCAATCTGGTCCGGCCCAAATCTGTCCGGCCATTACCACGGCCCAATCCAGATCATAAATCTCCCTCTCAGTCACTAAAAGTAAAATTTTGTCACAAAAAATATTAGAAGACTAATTGCTATTGTCATAAAAATCGTCACTAAAAAGTCTTTCCCAAAAGTGGGGCAAATTATAAATACATCTCTTGAGATTTGTTTAAAATACGAATTGCCTAATGTGGTTTAGACAACTACAAATAACCCATTATCAGAATTTTTTATTTAACAGAATTAAATGAAAAAATAAAATTTCTAACGGCTTTCTTAACAATGATAAAATTACTTAAATTATTAATTGAAAAAATCAATAAAAACTGTTAATTGACTTGATCATTTGTTAATAAAAGGAGTCATTTGTTATGAAATTAGAAACTTCAAAAGGAAGGATGTAATATCTAGAACCACATGGGAAAAATCGTATTTTAAGCAAATCTTAGGGGGTGTATTTGTAATTTGCCCCTAAAAGTCCAATAAAGAATTTTTAGCAACAAAATTTAAAAAATGTAACTAATAAATGTACTTTTAGAGAAAATAATCTTGTACATAATTCCTATTAGCTCACACCATAATTCTGGTTTCGAGATTAGATCCCATCAAATATCTCTTTGAGAAACCAGCGCTTACGGGTAGGCTAGATCATTGGTTGCTTCTCCTTTCTGAATTTGATCTGAAGTATGTCACTCGCAAGTCTGTCAAGAGAAGAGCGG